TCATCATTTTCTTTACCTCATAATAATTAAAACGTTGCAATTAGGCCATGTAAAAAAGAAAAGTTGTTGATCATCACCTCCCTACGAACAAAAAAAATCACCCAACCATTTTTATTATTTTTAATTATTTTGTCTTTCAATTGTTTGTTCGTATAAATTCCACCTGATCAAACGCTACAATGGAAGACCTTACAATGTCAGCCACCATTCGAAGACTTGGGATGTATCCAAAAGAAAAGAAAAAAAAAAAAAACCTCCCTTCCCTACACACTTTTTTTTTTTTACATACTGTATATAATAATTTGGTTTATCAAAAGAATTTACAAATCCACTAAAATAAGAAATAAGAACCAGATGAATTTTTTTGAAGTACAGGTATTATTTTTAATCTTTGTTTTTTTTTTTTGTTTTTTTTTCCCATATCATTTCTCTTGCATCCTCATAGTATTATTTTTCCTGGAAGTAAATTAAAACATAGCAATTATATAATCAATTGGTTTATCAAAAGAATTTACAAATCCACTACATTGAAAAACCAGATGAAGTTCTTTGAAGTCAGTTATTGTTTTTATTCTTTGTTTTTTTGTTGTTTTTTTTTAAAAACCCATACAATAAGTGTGATAATGCAAAACATCCTGTTACACAATTACTACAATCAGCTTAATTTGGGGACAAATTATTCTCAATAAACAGCCATGTTATGATTCATATATTCTAAAAACAAAGTCTATTTAATAGAATATCGCAGCGTAAGTGAAAGCTTTTACCAACCGGCATTAAATCTTGATTCTTGTTTATTCTGTCAATACAGTAATAAAGAATAAATGTATCACTCTGGCTTAGCCTAGCTATTACTACTGTAAGTAACCGATAAAGGATTGGTGTTCGAAATCCTCTGTTTAAATTGGATCAGGTTCTGGGTTGTCAGATGTGATGAATGCAATTCAAATGTGTGGATGTTTCGACATGTTTATCCTTTTCAAATTCATTTGGTACGGCATATGGTTTGAGGAAGAAAAATATAGATAGGCAGCTTAGTAGTAGGAGAGATTGTGTGAACATAGAAGGAGATATTTTCTCCCTCCATGATGTGAATTAGAGAGAATGATGAGACGAGAGGTTTAAGAGAATAGTTGGTTACAACCGTAGGATATCAGGAAATGAGAAGATGGGGATCAAATATAATTTTTTTTTTTTTTTCATTGTTTTTTGTTACAGGAAAATTAGATTAGTGCTACTTACAGTAATAGGTTTTTTTTATGTTACAATATGTATACTAACTATATACACACATTCTTTTGAACAATATACTGTACATCGTAAACAGACAGGAGGGAAATAGCTCATGTAGTGAGAATTAGCAGGTTTATATTAATACCTCTAATTTGATGTTGATAAGGATGTTTAAGCATTGAAATCTGTTAAGATGGACGACTGATACAAGAGAGCAGTAATGGACCGTGCACAGTCTATCATCTATTATATTGTAGGATGTGATTCACGCAAGCTACGTAAAGGCTCGGCAAATACGACTCCTGCCGATTTCTCGCTGCTAATTAACCGTTGTTATTGAGGACCTATTTTTTATTGCATTAAGTGCTTGTTTTCAAGTTGGAAATTTCTGACTTCCTCTATTGTAGATGTACAAGAATTACTCACTATGTTTTTTTCACTGCGATCAAAGACATGTCTCAAAAACAATAGTCAGCAGACGGAAACGTGGTATTTGTAGAATCTCCCTTTTACTCCTGAGGGCTTTGAATGCCTCCTAAAGATATATGGGTCTCGGTAATCTCTATGTTATCCTGATGCACAAGTGCGGTGATTATGTACCCCACTTTATATCTAGGATGTTTGTATTGTGAAGGTACATGACTATTCTCAAATTCGTTGCCCCCCTGACCCCTGAGTCACATTTGATAAGTCTGCACTATGCATGACATCAGTCTTTCAGTGATCAAAATAATTTAACTGACAGAAATACAATGAGAGGTGACACAATTGATAGTCAACATGCTGTGTCTGGGTGTTTTTTTCTATATCAGGTGTCATGGGTATGTGGGAATTTATGTGTATAGTAGGCGAGGTGTGGTGTGTGGGGGTTGGTGTGGGAGGTTAAATGTGTGTATATGTGGGTAGGAAAAGACTATTCAACCATTCAGAACTAATAATACTGTCTATACTGTGAGAAATTTTTCTCCATTTTTAAATGCTGCTAAAAGTTTATATTTATGTAGTACTGATTACTCCTATGTGAATGCTGTCATACATTATTTTTTATTTTTAATATTTTTGTTTGATATTTCGGTATCTTTATTGAAAACATTAAAAAACAAGAGCAGCACAACATTGAATCCTTGGCGGCCATTGGTTAAATGAGGGATTCAATTTTACAAAGATCAATTACTGAATTCCAAAAATAAATTTATTTATACTTAAAAAAACACTTTAAAAATTTGATTAAAAATTATTTATAGAAAATATAATTATACAAAAATTCATTATTGGGATATTTAAATTAGATGATGCTATTAAAGTTATTTGTTGATAATTTGTTTTTGTAAGCTTATATTAATTATTATTATTAGCAAATTATGTTAGTACAGTAGTGTAATTTTATGCAGCATCTGTTATATTTTATACCATTGCTGTTCTTCAGAATTAAAAATATTTTCTGTTAATGTTATGAATTAAGGAAAAATTCTCAAGAATTTAAGTAAATCATTGAATTGCTCAAAGGATTATATACGTTTTTTCGATGGTATTCTGTTGGTGTTTACGTTTACAGACATTTCGTTTGAAAACTCTTAGGACACATGGATCACCAGCCAAATTATTAGGTCTTGCAAAAGAAGAAACAATAAAACATTATTTAATTGCCTTAATCTGGGCAGGAAATTGTTTTTACTCATTAAAGTTTTCAAAAAGATTAAATATACAAAACAATTTATTTATTTAAAAAAATTTTTTTTTCAAAACTTAACATGGACAGAATACCACAACATTCTATTCAGTTTCATCTTTATCTTTTCGGAACTCTTTAGCAATCCTGTTTAATGCCTTAAAAAATAAAAAAAAAATTCACCAGCTGTTCTCTTTTAGACTAGAACGCTTTTAAATGAACATATCGTTATAAAATTCCACTAAAACATGATTAATATATTGAGACAGTTCCAAAAGAACATTTCTAAGAAATTATGAATGCAATATAGAAGAGAAAAGGAAATATCTGTTTCAGCTCGTTTAGGCAAGCTAATGGTATGGTTTTTAGAATAATATACTTCTAATATTGGATAGGATTTACTTATTGTACATCATTAAAATACATCGTAAATTGAAACCAAGTATATTAATATATTAGAATATGAATCAACATGACATGTTTTCGCATTAATGGATAACACAAACAAAGGTCAAAGGTGAAACAGATGTCTGCATGTAAAGAGTATTTGAGGACTAACTGTTGATGAGGAGGAGATTGTTATGCTAAGACATTCCTATCTACTAGTACTTAAAGATAGCCAGTTGTTTTTCTGAGTCAGGATTAAATTGGGTCAGACTATGTTTGATAGTGGTTTGCCTCTGAGCTGATATTGTTTATCAAACCTGATGTTTGGCAGTTTATATGCTGAATGCTTTTAATGCGAGAAATAGAATGTGATTAATGTACCTGTTTTTCTTACTCTGATTGCCTTTAGCTAGACATCAAAAAAGTGAAATATCAGACCACAACATCATCTTAGTCCTCATAATACTCTGGACCACGTCTCCCTTTAAGGCAACCTCGACAGATAATAACTCTGTACACGTCGCTACGCATACCAAGTGCCCATCTCATAAGTGGTGGCGTTGTTAAATGGTTTTTGTGGGAGGGATTGTTACAGCTTTGGTTATTTTAAACTTAAACCTTCTTGAGGTTTTGCATACTAAAATGTACTTCATCTGTCAAAATATAAGATACAAGAGTAAATACACATTGAAAATTAAGAATAATTGTAAAAAAAAATTATCCAAAATCTTTGAAGCATGTATTTTCAAAACTATTAAATATAATTTTATACAATACAGTAGAAGACATTTATATATTGTATTTATTTTTTTTAAATGCCCTAGGGCATTTATTTTTTAGCAGGGTTTTTGAGGGGCATTTATTCGAGGGAGAATTTTATTTTTTGGGTGTATAATGGATACGTAGGTATACTAAAATAAACGGCACTTTTCACTGTAAATGTGGAACTACAACACATAATTATAGTCAAAATGTGTTATTGCGGGATTATAAAGACTTATTGATCCCCACCCGGTTAGAAAAAATGTAATTTAACTGGAGTAGAACATTAATAGAATGTGTTGAGAATGATGTTACCTCAGGGCGTTTATTCGAGGGAGGCGTTTGTTCTAAATGAGGCTCTAGAAGGGAGTTTATTTGAGGAGGTGAGAACTTATTAAAAGCAGGATGTTTATTCGAATAAATACGGTATATCTTTACTACATTTAAAAGGATTTCATTTTTGAAAGGAAATAGTGATAAACTATAGAAAAAGTAAAGAATACTGTAGGAGATCTAGGTACTGTACTGTCATCACAACTGAAAATCTCAAACACTACAGTATGCTACACCAAAATTCAGCACAAGAAATCTGAAAAAACAATGCAAAAAGAATTAATTATTGTTCCTGTGGTGGAAGCGGAAATGAAATGTTGATGAAAAAAATGAAAGGCACTCAACTTTGGCATTAAGTTTGCAAATTAATTTATGAATTTACCTTGTACAGTATACACTATTAATTCATAATGAAAAATAACTACCGATACTAGAATTACACTCCTGTATTATGGAGGATGTACTTGCAATTAATTTGTTTACCTGGAAAAGATTTTTCTTAGAAAGCAATAGTGAATGAACATTATTTTTAATTGCTTCCGATTGTTTTTAACAATAAAAATCTTATAAATATGTGCTAAATAATCATATTTAAAAAAATATTTTCTTCGTAAAGGTGAGTACATAAAAAACTGGCGGATGAGATATTTTCAACTAAAGGCTGATGGCTCCTTTCTTGGTTACAAAGAGCGTCCGACAGCGTTTACGGAAGTACTCAATAATTTTACCGTGGCAAGTAAGTGAATGTGTTCTTCAACACACCTTGGCTTTCTTAGTACATTAAAACTATTGTATTTTGTTTTGACACACTTTTTAAAATATTAATGCTTTTGTGCTGGAAAGTTTCAACATCCTGAGCTCACCATGGTGCATTTTGCAACTGTTAAAGCTCTGTCCAGACTATCACATTTTCTTTGACAAAAACATGTGACATGCCTAAATATGGTCGTGATGTGATGTCATATATAGGCACATCATGACCATATATAAAACTTTATGTAATTATCAATTTCCATTCCAGAATGTCAAATATTAAAAACAGAAAAACCAAAACCAAATACGTTTTTGCTGCGCTGTCTGCAATGGACGACCATTATCGAACGAACGTTTCATGTAGAATCTGCACAAGAACGGTGAGTAAACATTTTGTTTCTGGCTCTAATTTAGGTTTAAGATTTTGGTGTTTTTTAGAAGTAGGGGAGGGGATTGCATTTCATAAGTTTTCTTGGTCAGCACTACGGCTTTATTTGTCATCTCCACCATCATCACCACCACTATTAATTTATCAGTATTGATTATTATGATTATCATCATTTTGTTTGACCATCATTTTCACCGCCATTTTCTAATAATATTCGGCATAGCGAGTGCCTGGCTTCATCATATCAGTATCATATTTAGGTACTGGTGACACTGCAAGTTTGATGTGAAACAGGTTCAGTTGTAACGAAGAAAATAGTGGTGTACACATTAAACAAAGACCAAGTCGTACAACAATTAAACTGAATATTTGGGCTGATTCAAGCTAGAGTGCCAACGGCACAGCTTGGTTCACGCTCCTCCCTCCAAGACTCCCTGTTCGTCTAGTCTGCTGGCCCACAAGATGTTTCTCGCAGGAACATCCCATAATATTGTTTATACAAAGTTGAAAGGCTACAGTAGCAGTATCATCACCAATATGTTAATCATCTTGTCATCATCAAAATCATCATCAGTATCAGCATTGCTACAAGTAATCTTATCCTATCTCTTGTTTTCTCTCTCCATTTTCAAAACATGTGTCAATAAATTTAGCTGTTTCAAGCACTTAAGCATTAGATCCAATGAAGATGTTGTTACCAAGACAACTGAGGAGCAAACACAACTGACCTAGTAGTGGCTTAATTATTTGACTAGTTGCTTCCAGCTGTCTTGCTGTTTTGGATTGCAATATTTCCCATCATTCACTTGTAATAAATTTAAGATTGTTAATCTTATGAATAATATACATCGATAAATACAATTAAAATCAATAAAT